TTTTTTTTTTTTTTTTTTTTGTAACCCCTGGAAAAGTGGCCAAAGCAGCACTTCGCTGGCTTAGATGCGTATTATGTAGAAGATCTTTTGTGGGATATACTGATGTCATTGGCTCCTTGTGCCTTCTAGCAATAGTAACTTCTGGGAGGCCTTTTGTTTTTCTCCCAAAAGGAGCTGCTGCCTTTTTCCTCCCCACTATTTCCTGCATGTGTGGGATCCCCACAGAGGGTGGGGAAAGGACCACAGCCAATCTCAGCATCATGTATGTGGTTTTCCATCTACCTCTGGTTCAGTGAATGTATTAAATTAGCTGCCAGTGCACTGTTTTTCAGATATGCCTCTGTGATCTTTGTTACTGTACTGGATTTTGTTCTGTCTGTTCCCATGAAGTCTTAGTTGGCCAGCCAACTAACAAGAAGTCAGTGTCTACCTCCCTCTAATCCTTATCCCTTTCTTGTCACTGAGAGAATAGAAAAGACTCTCTCCTGGCCCTTCTGTTGAAGTGGTGGGTGGGGGGTGCTCTGACCACTGTGGTCTCTGCAGGGGGCACCGAGAAGGGCTGAGCCGTACCTCAAGCAGCCGCCAGAGCAGCACAGACAGCGAACTCAAATCCTTGGAGCCCCGGCCTTGGAGTAGTACAGACTCGGATGGCTCTGTCCGGAGCATGCGACCCCCTGTCACCAAAGCTAGCAGTTTCAGCGGAATTTCTATCCTCACCCGAGGTGACAGCATTGGCAGCAGTAAAGGTGGCAGTGCAGGAAGGCTGTCCAGGCCAGGTACTGTAGCGTCTTTCCTTTCATATCACACACTTCCCTTTTTGCTTGTCTTTTATAAAACATCACTGATACTTCTTACAAATATTTATCCCAGTATAGTTTCCTGGAAACTTAAAACAGCCAAAGGAGGAGAAATTTGATTTCTTAGATCGATTATCCATTCTTAGATCTAGTCCCTGTCTGATTTTCTTTTTGTTTGTGTTTGTTTGTTTCTGGGTTTTTGAGACAGTGTCTCGCTGTGTAGTTCAGGCTGGCCTTGAACTCACTGTTTAGTCCATGCTGACCTCAAACTCACAGCAGTCCTCCTGCTTCAGCCTCCCAGGTGCTGGGATTACAGGTGTGTGCCACCACACCTGGCTGTTCTTGCTTTATTTTAACAGAGAGGCATTTAACTGTCTGCATACAGTGGACTTCTCTTCACCTTCCACCTTCCTCCTTCCTCTGAAGTATTGCTTGAATCTCACTCCCGAAGTTCTATAGGTCTTACTCTCAGCAGTCATTGGCAGAGTGAAGATTTTTGCCTCTGTTAGGTCTCTATTGTCTTTCTCTATTGTCTCTTTCCTCATTCCACTGCTTTTACATTTAACCTGCCCTTTATTTACTTTTATGTAATTACTTTATTTAATTATATTAGCCCCCAAGCAGATCTCTCTGCTTCATTCTCAGCCCTTTTTAGAGCCAATTTACCAATCTAAAATATGAATCTAATCATATCAGTCCCCTGTTAAATGTTCATGTTTCTGCATCACTTGCACAATAAAGTCTAAACTACTTGATACAGCATAACTTCCTGACCCTACTTTTTCACTGCAGTCTCATTTTCAGATAGCCAACCTTCTCCATCCTTCCAACCATTTCTTAAATATGGTATTAACTTTGCCCCCTCTGTTAGTAAAATCTTCTAATCATCCTTCAAACCCATCTCTCCTGTCATCTCTTTAAATCCTTCCCTTAAATAAATAAATAAATCCTTCCTGGTCTTGCCAGGAATTATTGCTTCCTCATTTGGTGTGGTTCAACTCTGGTGTGGTTATCACTGATATATCCCTTATCCTTATCAAATTGTGATATTTGTATGGATGTCCATCTTCTATCAGAAGATCCTGTGTGTCTTCAAAGGCAAGGCTTGCATTTCCTTCACCTTTGTGTCTTTCATTCATTCATCCATTATATGCCTGGCGTATAGTGGTTAGAGAAAGTATGTTGTGTGGTGAACCAAAATAAACCTTTTTCTCTTCATTTAAAAAAATATATTGTGTGAATATATGAATCCTTTGGAAAGCCAGAAAGTGGAAAAAATAGTTGGGTAAATGTTGAGTGTAAAGCTGCAGGTGTAGCTCAGTGGTAGAGTGCTTGCCTAGCATGCTTGAGGCCTGGATTCGATTCCTGGCATGGCATGCAGGTGTCCTATGTATGTATGTACTCATGTGTGTGCTAGAAAAGGCAAAGTTGATACTTCAAGTTGAGAAGAAAGCAAAGAGAAAACAGGTCAGAATCTGTACCTTTCCAGGAAATAAAGATTCATGTTTTCATCCATCTAATCATGATGGGCACAGTTTAGGCACTTCAGGGGAGATGCCTTAACAGCTTCACATCTCATTCAATCCCCAGCCAAAGATTGACAGTCAAGGTGATTCCTGTCCGTGGAGAGCAGAAACCTGGTAGGAGGCAAGTGCCTATCAGCAAGGCAGCTGAAACGTGTCTGTGTTTATGTATGGATATTCAGAAAGTGGGGAAGGATGGGCAGATAGGAGTGAAGAGAGAGGGCAAGGAAAAAGTAGAGCCCTGCAACTTGACTCTTCAGGAGTTAAATTCATGGCTTGTGTTTACAACTCTGGGTCTGTCTTCCTCTTTGCCTTAGGTATGGCACTAGGTGCCCCAGAAGTGTGCAACCAGGTCACCTCACCCCAGTCTGTCAGGGGTCTTCTTCCTTGTACTGCCCAGCCACAACAGCAGCAGCAGCAGCCGCCACCGCAGCAGCAGCAACTTCCTGCTCTCCCACCCACACCTCAGCAACAGCCACCCTTGAATAATCACATGATCTCACAGGTGAGTCACCACTCAGCAAAGAGCCCCTTCTCTGATTCAAGCAAGCTCTGGAAGTATAGTCATGTGTGTTGTGCTGTTGGTGACAGAAAGGATCAGTTTTTTAAAAAATATGCCACTCTCTTCCCCATTTTCATTTGTTGTAAGGAGAAAAGAATTGGGGCAAAGATTTGGTCAAAATACACTTACTAAATTAGCCTGGTATTTGTTTTTGTTTTGTTTTATGTTTTGGGTTTATAACTTCTTCCTAAGAATTGTCAATCGGATCTACCTTACATTGCATTTCTACTGTACTTGTATGTTCTTTACAATTAGCAAGATGATTTTGCTCACTATATTCATGCATGCAACTTGAACAAATTATAGTTTTCAACATAGACTGATGGAATATGTTGAATCATAAACACATTTATTTGTTGTGGTATAGTGTGAAAAGAAAAACATTCATGACTGCAAACCCACAGACCACCGAAATTGTCTTGGTTTTGTATGCCAAAAAAGAGCAATGGCTTTCTCTTTTTATTGCTAGATTGGTAGATATTGATAGCAATTAGAGTTTGAGGAAAGTTTTGCTTCCAGAAAAACCATGTAAGTCATCGGCCTAAGAATCAGGTCTTATTCAAAACTGGAACTTCAGTGTCCTAGGTTTCATAGCCACTTTAATATTCTGATATTGGGCCAGGCGTGGTTGCACATGCCTGTAATCCCACACTTGAGAGGCTGAGGCAGGAGGATCACTGTGAGTTCGAGACCAGCCTGGGCTACATAGTGAGTTCCAGGTCAGTCTCAACTACATAGTGAGACTCTGTCTCAAAAAAAAAAAGAAAGACAATTCTGATATTGGCTGTGCCAAAATCTTCACATAGTCTCTTCTTCCATAAACAGGTTTCTACATGAGTAGAGCCCCCTTTTCTGGTTTTTTGAGCCAGGATCTCTATGTAGTCCAGGTTGACCTCAAATTCAAGGCAATCCTCCTTCCTAAGTCTTCGGAGTACTGGGATTACAAGTGTGCACTAGCATGCCCAGCTCAAGCCCCATATTTTACACTGAAATATTCTCTGGTAATCAGGAACTCACGTCTCTACTTCTTCCTGCTGCAGTTTAAGTTTTTATTTCATGTGCGAAACTCCATTTCTCCCTGCTCAGTTAGTCCACTGTGACCTTAGATATATCTTTTCCTTAGGGACAAGAAACAGGTTCCAAGCACTATTACCCTAGGAACTAAAAACTCAAGTGGAAAGACCCCAGAATGGCTCAGCACTGCCCCATCTCACATACCAAGAAGCTTAAGGAAACAACAGAGAAGATATAGGAAATATGACTTTGTGTCTAATGTAACCCGCATGCAGTTCTTACCCTTCATTTCAGTCTCTAAATCAGTCTCTGTAGTGCTTTCTTCTTCTGTCACCATATTTCCTATAAAGTCTTGCTTGTATCAGCTTCCCTTACTGAGGCATTGCATGTATATGTGCTTTTCTCTGCCTGTGTCTTAGCTCAAACCTGTAAATGGGTAAACTGCTTCTTCTTCTGGCTGTCTCCTACTGTGCTTTTGTGTGTGTATATCTCACTTTTCCAAGGTCGCAATATGTTTTAGTTCTTTTTTTCCTAAAATGTATTTATTACAGTCTTATTTCCTTTTCTTCTTGTTAGTCTTCCATCTGTCTCACCTTCCTTCTGCCATCTATACCTAAAACAGACAAGAATGGGAAAGGAAATTGAGTGTGAAGGTACATGCCTATAAACCTAGCACTTGGGAGGCTGAGGCAGGAGGATCAGTAGTTCAAATCTAGCCAAACTGCAAAGCAAGACCTTATCTCAAAAAATAAAACAAAAAAGAGAAGGAGATAAGAGAATAACAGTTTTGGACTTAAAATTTTAGAGTGAATACCCAAATGATGAGTCCTAAACCTCCAATTTTGGCACTGACTCATTACCTGGAGTAAATACGTTACTAGGTGAGAGATTATGTCTTGGGGATGGAAAACAGTTTGATGCAAAAATCTCTGTTCCCTCAATAGATTTGACTCTTGAATTTAATCATAACCACAAATTCCAAAGTAAAGTGGTTTGTTTTTTGAGTTTTTTTGTTTGTTTTTGGTACCAGGGATCAAACTTGGGTCCTTGAGCTTGCGAGGCAGGTGCAGAACCACTGAGCTAAATCCCCGGCCCCAAAGTAAAGTATTTTATCCTAAGTAATTTTAGTGTCCCCAAAACATTGGTAGCTGCTAAAGTTTTACCACCCTAACCCCACTGTATATATCTCATTTTTTATTCTTTCTACTTTTCTCTTTTTAGCCCTTCCTTATCCTACTGCTTTTTTTTGTTTTGTTTTTTGAGACAGGGTCTCACTATGTAGTTCAGACTGCTCTGGAACTCACTGTGTAGCCCAGGCTGTTCTCAAACTCTCAGCAATTCTCCTGCCTCAGCCTTCCGAGTGCTGGGGTTACAGGCGTGCACCACCACACCCAGCAGTTTATCCTACTGCCTTTTATTGTTACTTTTCTTTTTCCCTGACTAGTGTCAGTATTTAGGGTTCTCAACTAAAGTTGCTGAGCCCAAGAATAATTACTATTCAGTTTCTCAGATGGTATATAGCAGCATAAAAATGAAGGAAATGACCACACATGCACACACCACTGTTTGCACTATAGCTTTTCCTTACAAGAAAAACTTTAAGAAAGGATAGATAAGTTACTTTTAGCTCTGTGGCAAGAGGCATTTGTTACAGACCTGAGATTAATACTGGTAGAATTGTGTTTATGCCCTTCTTGTCAGGCCTCCTCTGTCCAAGCAGACCTTCATCTCATATGTCAGTGAAACATGTGAAAGCCAGGAGCAAGGGTGAGAATAAAGGGGCCAGTAATCACCTTTTGCCCAATTGACTTAAGCTGGAGTGGACCTCTTGCAAAGAAGCCCTCTTAATGTCTCTCCTGGAGTCCTCCGGCATCCAAAAGCCATTAATCTGTCCCAGAACTCACCAGTAGGTGGCAGCCACAGCCTCATTGTTTCTCAAAGGTTTCTTGGCTCTGGAGTTTGAGATTAATAGAGAACTGTAACTTGAGGGTACTCGTAGAATAACAAAAAAAAAGCATTGTGTTCCATACCTTTACTATTGCCCTTCCCCAGGAGAGAAGCATGATTTCTTCTCTCTTCACTATTTAAAGCCCACACACCGGGCATGGTGGCACACACCTATAATCCTAGCACTTGAGAGGCCGAGGCAGGAGGATCACCATAAATTCAAGGTAGTGAGTTAAAGGCCATTTTGAACTGCATAGCAAGAATCTGTTTTAAAAAAAGCAAAAAAACCACAGCCAGGCTAAGCATGCTGGCACATGCCTGTAATCTCTAGCATTATGGGAGGCTGAGACAGGAAGATCATCACAAGTCCAAGCCCAGCCTGAGCAGTAACTTAATTAGACCCTGTCTCAAAATAATAAAAGGCTGGGATATAGCACAGTGGTAGAATACTTGCCTAGCATGAGTTCAACCCCTTCATATCACACACACAAAAGATAAGCATAAGGACAAGTAAAATTGTTTTACCACTTTACTATTCCTTTTCCCCAATATATGTAAGGCCTGAACTAAGTTAGGCCCTCCTCCAAGAGCAAGAGGAAGATCAGAATAATAGAAAAGATGTATGTATAAGAGTCACCTGATGCTGAACAACTTGACCTGCAGTCACATTTGGAGTTATCATTGGGTTATAGAAAATAAGTGTGTCGTTAGGGCTAAGAGTTCATTTTCCAGGCTACAGCAAGGACCTTGCTAGGTCACACAAGGAATTCTCAATAACTTTCCTAATCAAAATGACTTACATAATGAGAACCAAGACCTGTCATGTAGAGGTACAAGATCCCAACAATGAATGTAACTGTACTGTATCCCTAAAATGTACCAACAAACTCACTTTTTAAAAATGACTTACATTTTTAAAATCTAGGTATTAGGTCCTCTTCTGAGGCCTCCAGAGTATTCTCCCTCATTAGGGGTATTCAAAATTCCTAAGCTGTCTGACTCCTGTGCCGTCAGTCTCTTCTGTGAGTCTCCTGAAGATATGTGGGAGATGAGGGTGTTGATACCACAGACCCCACACCTCCTAACACTAAATACAGAAGGAAGAGCCTTGTGGATGATGCCTGAGAAGTTCTTCTGTCTTTTTCTTTCACCTTCTCACTACTACTAGAGTAAACTGGGAAGAACACATGTCCTGAATTTGGTTTCAATCCCAGCTTTGTCATATTAGCTGTGGGAACCTAAGTGAGCAATTTAATTTATCTGAGCTTAACTTTATTAGTTATAAGTTATCATATCTCTTTATGGGATTCTTGTGAGGTTGTCATGAGACTATATAAATATTATTTCTCTTCTCTTCCTCATCTCTCTCCTTCTCCCATCCCTCCTACAACTTGCAGGCTACAACTGAAGACTGATGAGATGATTGAAATAACTGAGGAAAAAAAAAGATTTAAAAAACAAAAAAAAAAAGTACCTGTCAGTTAATTTAGAGCACTGCATGTTCCTAAACAAATTCTCCATTTGAGGCGAGTGAAGGAACTAGAGAGTCAAAATCTACAACTAAGTTATTTATATTTTATCCCTAAATCCTCCCTGTTTGCTTATGGGGGCATTTTTCATACTACTCTCACAGCCTGGAGGAACATAGAAAATCCTGAAGCAGGAGGAAGTAGCCTGAAGCAGGCATCAACTGAGTGTTTTTTCCTTTTCTGCCCTCAGGAGGGAGCCAGTCCCTGTAAATGAGGGCTTTCTCCAAGAAAGCTGACCTTGGATGACTCTTCTTATAGAAACAGTGTAGCAGTGCAGACAGGAATCCCTTCTCCAGTGGGCTTTCAGAAAGGTTGTGATTGAGCTGGGAAAGAATCTCCTGGTCAGGAAAACATGCTTTGGAAAAGGCCTTGTTTGGAATCAAGCAGTCCCTGGTCCTGAGATTCCTCAGATTGCTCACAACAGTTGCAGAGTTCTAAGTGGCTAATGGGGCAGGAAGTACTGTGGTGAGTTTCTCCTCATAAGAGAGATTGCTTGTTTGTCAGAGAGATGAGCCACTAGCTGACCCAGTTTTGGTCACCAGCCTGCTCAACAGCCTTGTGATTCAAGTGAAATTTCGTTTTGATTAACCTTGTTGTTCCTTCCCTTTCCCTCCCCATCTCTGCCCCCTGCCTTTCCCTTTTCTCCTCTCTTTTTCTACATGCCTCTCTGCTGGTTTACAGCCAGTCCCAGCTCTGCAGCCCTCTCCGCAGCCTGTTCAGTTCTCTCCAAGCTCCTGTCCCCAGGTCCTTCTGCCAGTTTCTCCACCCCAGCAGTACAACATGGTATAAACTCCATTACCCCTTTTTGTTTTGTCAATATGTGGGCATGTCTGGGTCAGTCTATGATGACCTTGCAAGGTTGTCATACTTTGGAGGGCATGTTGAAAGCTATTCTTGAAAGGCCAGCACAGGCTGAACTGTATGTATTCCATTCTAATTACCTCATCATAGCTCAGCAAAATACACCTAAATTTAAGACAGAAACACTGAGTTTGGAGAGGCAGGGAGGATTGGATGTTGGCCGAACCTCATCTGTCATGTACATCCTTCATCTGATTTGCTCCCTGGACTTGTCTGAGGAATTCAGTTAATTCTTTACAAAATGATTCTCTGCAATTTCATTTGAAATAAATACACAGGACTGGTGATTTGGTTCAGTGGTAAAGCGCTTGCCTACCATGCACAAAGTCCTGGCTTTGATCCCTAGCATTGCAAATAAATAAATAATACAACTGCAGGCTTCTCTAGTACCAGTAGTAAAAATGTAATAGTCTTACCCATTTGACCTGTCTTACTATATCATTTTATATAAAAAGCATCCTCTTACACTGTACATTATGTGTGCTATTTAAACTATTTGTACCCTGCCTACAAATCCTTTGAAGGACTGATAACCTTATTGTTGACCATTATTGATAATTTTCATTAGGGTTATAGGAGTCCTTAGTTTTTACTTTATATTAATCATACTTCTGCCTTTTCACTAGAATCCCTTTGTTCATTTTACCTCTCTTACCTCCATTCTGAAAGTCCTGGAATATAGACCTATAAATAAGCTCAAGTCCTCATGTCATCTATTCATGACCACTATAGTACCAAACAGATTCTTGAAAATTGAGTAAAAAACTGCCGGACAACATTGTCTTTTGGTTTCTACTAGTTTCTCTTGTTTAAAAAACCCTTAAAAAAATAAAAAATAAAAAACCCTTATTCTGGTGTGCATGAGTGCTGCATGCATGTGTGTGTGTATATATATGTGCCCAAGAATTACTGTCCAGAGAATAGAAGGGTGGAAAAATGCAGTATAGAAGAAAAGAGGAAGCTACTGTATCAGCATAAAAATGAGAGATGGAACACCATCACTCTTGGTGCTTAGGGAAGAAGGCTGAGAGTAAAGATAATTACAGCCTGGCCAGTCACTCTCCTCCTCCAGCTCAGCCTCTCACCCTGGCCTCCTTTCTGAGGTGAGAATTGGAAGTGGTTTCAGAAGGGTAGGAGAACTCTAGGCTTGTGTCAAAGAACAAAGGTGGAAATGACCTCCAGAGGGAATAAGGACATAGTCAGCAGGAGTGGAGCCCATCAATCCTTTGCTGTAAGGCAGAGGTGTCAAGACACGTGAACATAGTCCTCCATATCCATTCAAGGTGTTATCTGGGTCCTTTATTATAAAAAAACAGGATTTATAACAAAGTAGGGCCCTTCTGTGGTTTGGGGCAAGAGGAAGACAGGAAGTACACTCTTAAACCAGGACTAATTTGTCCTTTTTTTACCCCCCATAGATAAAGTTGTATCATTCCTCCTTTTTGTTAGGACTAATTCTAATTGCAGTCGTAATCAGGATAGTCCTTGTTCCTTTACCTGTGATAGGGAGACTGGTTCTCAATTTAGGATTAAAACATTTAATTTGTAACTATTTAAAATATCACTTAACAGAGGCTTATGGCTAAGAAATACTTTTCAAGATGTAGAACAGGACTGTTCCAAAATGGTGTAAGAAAAGTTTTAGAGAACATTGCTATTTTTGATGTTCTATGTTGAAACCAAAGACATGGGTCTTAATACAGCCTCAATCCTTGAGTCACCCACTCTCTCAACAGGCAGATGATCTCAGCAACCCCTTTGGACAAATGAGCCTTAGCCGACAAGGTTCTACTGAAGCAGCTGACCCATCCTCAGCTCTGTTCCAGCCCCCACTTATCTCCCAGCACGCTCAGCAGACTAGCTTCATCATGGCATCCCCAGGACAGCCCCTCCCCACTTCCAACTATGCCGCCTCTAGCCATGCACCACCTTCTCAGCAAGTCCTGCCACCCCAGGGCTACATGCAGCCCCCTCAACAGGTGAGCAGCCCCTGTCCCACTTCTAATCACCAATTCAGTTTGTCTGGTAATCTTCTTTTCTTCCTTTAGTTTAGACAGACCAAGGGGATACTCTCCCCACTGCGCACTTGAGAGTCGTCATTCAAGCCAGAAGATCTCCTTTTTTTATAACATAAATCCTGTTTTTTTTTTTCAAATTTGTGTGATAATCCAACAAATTGTAAGCCCCAAGTATCTTCTCTTACAGATTTTTGGCCATCAGTCCTGAGGCATTTAGTATTTTGTGAATGTTGGGCTGAATTAAAGGAACCTCTCACACCTATTTCTTCTCACCATAGATCCAGGTTTCTTACTATCCTCCTGGACAGTATCCTAACTCCAACCAGCAATATCGACCTCTGTCTCACCCGATGGCCTATAGCCCCCAGCGTGGTCAGCAGCTGCCTCAGCCATCCCAGCAGCCTGGTAAGAGGAACCATTGGTATAAGAAGGTAGTGGATAGAGCAGAAACTAAGAAAGCCAGAATTACCTTCCCCATTAAAAATAGTAATAATAATAATAATAATAATACAAGAATGAATAGGGTCCTAAAGAGGAGCCCAGGGAGAAAAAGAAAAGGTAAAAATAAAATGAAAAGGGAAATTACTGATAGAGTATGACTTCCTAAACATTCGTAATAATGTCTTCTCTGCTTTTTCAACCCTAGGTTTACAGCCCATGATGCCTACACAGCAGCAGGCAGCTTACCAAGGCATAATTGGGGTCCAGCAGCCCCAGAACCAGGGCCTGCTCAGCAACCAGAGGAGCAGTATGGGGAGCCAGATGCAAGGCCTGGTGGTTCAGTATACTCCACTGCCTTCTTACCAAGTGGGTACATTCTGTGTTGGGAAAAGTCACCAAGTCTCAGAATGGGGAAAAAGAATAGCCTCCCAGGGTCTTCAGACTGACAGCACAAATACTAAAATATCTTCCACTTCCCCTTAGAAGTTTTAGGAATTTTTATATTTTGTTTTGGTGAGTCAAGGTCTTGCTATATAGTCCAGGCTGGCCTTGAACTCACAGCAATCCTCCTGCTTCAGCCTCCTGAGTGCTGGGATTACAGGTATGCACCTCCATGCCCAGCATTTTAGGGTTTTTTTTTTCCTCTGAATGAAAGCCCAAAGAGTCAGGGAAGAATCTTTAAATTATTTGTTTTTTATACAGTGTATATGACCAGGAAAGGGGTATAGGACTGGGGATGTAGCTCAGTGGCATAGCTCTACCTAGCAAGCACAAGGTCCTGAGTTTGATCCCCATACCAAAAAAGAAAAATAAAGTAGGATATAAAAGAAATCAGGCTCTTCTATGTCACGTGCCCGCCCAAGGGTTGTATTTAGATAAGGGTGAAATGTGATAACTCTGAGCATTTCCTTTGGTTAGATGAGGAAAACAGGAAGAAGTCTAACTTCTCTAGAGAGGAAAGGTGCAATGTCCTGGTCTAATAATGACTAGGCTGTTTTCTGAATGAGTTCAGTGAGAGTCCAAGTAGTTACTCTCCTCTTCTCTATTTAGGTCCCAGTGGGCAGTGACTCACAAAATGTGGTCCAGCCACCTTTCCAGCAACCCCTGCTGGTCCCTGTGAGTCAGTCTGTGCAAGGAGGCCTCCCTACCGCAGGCGTGCCCGTATACTACAGCATGATCCCACCCACTCAGCAGAACGGTACGAGGTGAGGACCACAGGGAGTGGGGGCATATCTGCCATAGATCTTCAGTAGCTGTCATACATCCTTTTGTTTACACTGGCCTAAGAAAAACAAGAGGAAGAAGCCGGCGTGGTAGTGCACACCTGTAGTCCCATCACTTGAATGGCTGAAGTAGAAGGATAACTGGAAGGTTGGAGTTCAGCCTGGGCCACATAGTGAGTTCAAGACCAGCCTAAATGCTGGGTGTGGTGTCACATGCCTATAACCCCAGCACTTGGGAGGCTGAGGCGGGAGGATTGCAATAAGTTCAAGGCCAGCCTGAACTAATAGCAAGACTTTGTCTCAAGGAAAATAAAAAGGAAAAAAGACCAGCCTGAACTACATAGTGAGACCTTGTCTCAACAACAAAAAGCACCACCAATAACAAAAAAGCCACAAAGACACATGCTTTATAATATTCATTTTTTTTCAAATCAATAGAATTTAAAACTATGAGATAGAAGCTGATCATCATTAAGTGATACAGTTTTGGGGTGCATGTATATACATTTGGGAGGGATCGTTTGAGACAGGGTCTCACTGTGTAGTTCAGGCTGACCTTGAACTAGATTGTAGCCCAGGCTGGCTTTGAACATGCCTCAGTCCTCCTCCTGCCTCAACCTCCCCAGTGCTGGGATTACAGGCACGAATACCACACCTGACTTGTGAATTTTTTAATATATTTGTTTAATCTATGTTGAAACTCTAATGGGAGATATATCTAAGAATAGGTCATAGCTAATAGAATTGTAGGAGTAGAAGGCACTTTAGAAATAGTCTAGTCCTTTGCCGGGTGTGGTGGCGCATGCCTGTAATCCCAGAGGTTGAGGCAGGAGGATTGCTGGGAGTTTGAGACCAGCCTGGACTACATAGTGAGTTCCAGGGCAGTCTCAGCTACATAATGAGACCCTGTCTCAAAAAAACCTCCCGAAAAAGTCTAGTCCAGGGCTAGGGATGTCACTCAGTAGCACTGTGCATGCCATGCAAGCACAAGGTCCTGAGTTCGATCCCCAGTACTGAGAAAAAAAATCTAGTCCACCTCTGTATTTCTATGTTTCTCTCCCTATTTAGTTAGTTAAGTTACTTAGAGATAGGGTCTCACTATGCTCAAACTTCTGGGTTCAAGTGATTCTCCCACTCTTCCACCTCACCCTCTAGTAGCTGAGACTACAGGCACATGCTACCTTGTCTGGTTTCCTTTAGTTTTTTGTGTTTGTTTTTGTTTTGAAGTATTAGAGATTGAGGCCTAAGCCTTCATACTGAGTACATCCCCAGTCTCTTTTCACTTTTCATCTTGAGACTGGGTCTCATCAAGTCACCAAGCCACTCAGTCTGGGATTGAACCTGTAATCCTCCTGCCCCAGTCCGTCAGAGTTCTGGGACCATGAGAATATGCCACCATGCCTGGCTGTTTTTGTTTTTGTTTTTTATCTTTGTCTGTGGTTCTGGGGATTAAATCCACAGCCTCATGCATTCTAGGCAGGAGTTCTATTAATGAGCTGCCTCCTTAACCCTTTTTTTTTTGGTACCGGGGATTGAACTCGGGACCTTACACTGAAGCAGGCGGTGGAACCACTGAGCTAAATTCCCAGCCCTGACCATTTTAATTTTTTGAGACAAGAGTCTTGCTAAGTTGCTCAGGCTGGCTTCATACTTTTGATGCTCCTGCCCTATGTGCCCATGTAACTGAGACTACAGGCATGCCCCACCATGCCCAGTTATTAGTTTCCCATAGTTTTATTTTTTTAAACTAAGTTTATTGGTACATTTTAGGTATACAATATAATGACATTCATCATTGGAAATGTACACCTTTTCATAATCTGTCTTGGTTCCTATTTTTTTCCCCATTCTGCCCTCCCTTCAACCTGTTGTTTGGTTTTTTGAGACAAGGTCTTGCTATGTAGTTTAGGCTAGCCCCGAACTTTCAGGGATCCTCCTGCCTCCACCTCTCAAATGCTAGGATTATAGGTGGTGTTACCACGCCTGGCTTCCCATAGTTTTTAAAAGAAGAAATTCCAGCTAGGGATATTAAGAAACTTACCCAAAGTTACATAGTTGGTTAGAAATAGAGCTGGAACTAGAAATCAAATCTGGGTCTAACTATATATGATTCAGTGTATCTGTGTCTCAGTGTATATTTGTTTATTTGTCTTTTTATATGCATATCTCAATATTGTTTTGAGTTTTGTGGGAGGTTTTCCTATTTGTCTGTAGGTAATTCTCATTGTTTGCCATTGTGTATAGATCCTAAACTTAGCTTTTACTCATCTCTTCTTAGCACTATATAAATATGTATGTCTTTGGCACTATCTTTGCCTGTTTCTGTTGTGTTTCTAGAATCTGTGTGTATGTGTGTATGTCCACACTGTTGGGAAGAGCATGTGGCACTAACATTCTATCTGTAGCGCTGATCACAGCTTCCTAATTGAAAGATGATCAAGTACAAATACATATAATTAACTTTGAACTGATGAGTGATTTAAAAAATTGCTTGGCAAATTGGTCTGGGAATGGCTTGAAACTGCCTCTGCTTCCCACAAGGGAGACTCAGGAAGCACCAGCTGTTTGCCAGGAGCTGTGTTCTTCCATGTATTGCTTTACTGTTCTTCTCTTCTCATCTCTCCAGCCCTTCTGTGGGGTTTCTGCAGCCTCCTGGCTCTGAGCAGTACCAGATGCCTCAGTCTCCCTCTCCCTGCAGTCCACCACAGATGCCACAGCAGTACTCAGGTAAGAGGATGAAGAATTTGAGGAGGGCTTGGTCACTGGCAAGGGCACACATTTCAATGGATTGTGCTCTTAGAGCTGGGAAGGGCGTGAAGGATTCAGGGATTGGCTGTGGCACCATCACGAAGAAAGACCAAAGTAACCTCTGAAGACAGAAGGCTGGTTGCCCCATCTTTTTTTTTTTTTTTGTACCAGGGATTGAACTCAGGACCTTGCGCTTGTGGGGCAGGCACAGTGCCACTGAGCTAAATCCCCAGCCCCCTGTTGCCCCATCTTTGAGATGGCCACATCTTTGGGTTCCTTTTTCTCATTGTCTTTTTTTTTTTTTTTTTCCTGAATCCAGCATTACACTTCACATGCCTTTGGATTACAAAATACTTGCCTCCATCTCCTATACTTTTTCTCCTTTCAGAGAGCTTTTCTTTTCTTTTCTTTTCTTTTGGGAGTGTCAGAGAAGTTGAAAAAAAAATGCTTTTTAGTTTTATCTAAAGGTCTGCTTAGCAGTTTTTAGTGTGTACTCACATACATTGTGACTTTTAATTCTTACACTTTTGTCAGGAAGAAATTTAAGACTTCCAGATACTATTAAATGACTTACCTAAAGCCACAATGCTAGAACTTGAACTTGGGTCTTTTGACTTTCCGTATCTTATGTTATATCTTCAATAACATATTTTCAACAGCCTTTTATACTCTGTCCTTTCTCTCCAGTGAGAAATCAACAGACCTCTTCCTAGGGGCCAGCTATCCCAGGTGGATATGTTTATGCCATTTGGCCTCTTTAGTCTGTCTTTGCCAAGAATGCTCTCGGCATAACTAGTACAGTTGCCCTTGTTTGTTTTACTTTCAGCCCACTGTGACACAGCAGTATATGCAGTTAAAGAAACTTCATTCAGGGCTTCTGGAGAACTCTTCATTTAGCCTCCAACCACTCCTGATCCACTGTATTGTGTGGATGTTAGAATGCCCTCTTCTGGTGAGAGGGAAATATTTTGCCAGTTTTCCCGATACAGAAATGGAATATAAGATTTGTTTGCACTCTTACTGTGTTTAGATGCTATATAAACAATTCTAGAATTAATCTTTGTTCATAGAACATGGTTACTTTCAATTTTAGAAAGTGTTCAAATGGGAAGGGGAACAAGGGTAGAGCGAAAGGAAAAGGACAAGAAAAAAGTAAAAATAGAAGGGAAAAATGGAAACAAAGCTTTTGTACATAGGGAGAGGGCTTGAGGGGGGGGAATGGGATATAGTAAAATTTATTAATAAAAAAGAACATAGTTACTTCCTACTTTTAAGAAGCAGTGACTTAGGGCCAGGGTTTTAGCTCAGTGGTTCCACCGCCGGCCTTGTAAGCGCAAGGACCGGAGTTCGATCCTGGTACCAAAAAAGAAGCAGTAACTTAGCTGGGTGTGGTGGCACATGCCTGTAATCCCAGCATGCTGGAGGTTGAGGCAGGAGGATCTCAGCAAGTTCAAGGCCAGCCTAATCCATATAGTGAGACACTGTCTCAAAAAAACAAAAAACAAGCTGCAGCAGCAGCAATGACTCGGCTTCATCAAGCCAAACATGGATTACTTACAGACCGGGGTTTTAAATTCAGCATCTCTTATCCTTTATTATATAAGTGGTGTCTCTTGCTGTTTCTCCTAGTATCCGCCAGGGGCAATTGGCCTTGAAATTCCCAGCAGAGTGCGGAAATTGTACAAACCATCTCCAAGAACCTGTGTAGCCTGTGGTGGTGCATAGTACTGCAGCGCATTTTCTCTTCTCTTTGTAAAGATAGTAGTGTAGATATACACATGTATATGCATAACAGGCATGCTTATATGTGCAGTGTTGTGTGGATCCTTTGTGGAATATAATTTTATCTTTTTTTGTTGTTGTTTTTTTAATACAGGGTCTTGCTGTATAGTTCAGGTTGGCCTTGAAGTCACTATGGAGCCTAGGCTGGCCTTGAATTCTCAGCAGTCCTCCGGCCTCAGCCTCCCAAGTGCTGGGATTACAGGTGTGCGCCACCATGCCCAGCCTAATTTTATCTATTGAACCTCTGGTTATTGTCTGTTCATCTTCAGATAACAAAGTCCTTGAATAAAAAACCAAGGGAAAATTATTTTTCATTACCTATTTAACCCCATACTGGGTTAAGCTAACTAAAAGATTGTGGAAGTTGGTAACACTAGAGATTTGGGCTGAGGTAGAAGGGGATAATCTAGGCTTCCCAAATCAAAAGAAATGAAAACTCACTCTCTCTCTCTCTCTCTCTCTCTCTCTATTTATTTATTTTTGGTTTTCTTTTGAGACAGGGTCTCACTGTATAATTGAGACTGACCTGGAACTCACTGTGTAGCCCAGGCTGGTCTCGAACTCACAGCGATCCTCCTGCCTCAGCCCTCCCGAGTACTGGGATTATAGATGTGTGCCTGAAATCTCTTCATTATCTAATTCCCTTGCTTATTTGGATTTTCCAGCTATATCTCCCTTCTTTCCAGCTACCATAGTTGATCCTAAGCTTCTGACCGACCCTTTTTATTTCTCCTAGATGGTTGATCTCTGTTCTACCTATTTCATCTAAGAGACCATATTCACCATACCATTAATTTTAAAAGTTTTTCTTGATGCAAATCTAAGATAAATGCTTTTGCCTTATTTTTCAGTTTAGCCTTTACTGGAAAAATAACAGACATAGCCCACAAGGGCTACTCTGTCACCTTCAAAGGACAGTCAGCCACCCTCCTCTCATATAGCAGCATGGTCACGTTTCCAAAAATAAAGGCAGGGATTAGGATTGGCTGTTCCTGAAACAACTGTTCTAGTTTATTAATACATTTTTTTAGTTGCCCAGTTTACCCCCAGGCCTGGCTGTTAATTCCTCCCCTCTAATATTAGCTATAACTGTAACTCCAGGAAACACTTTTCCTCCACTAAAATGATGGCTTGCAGTTCCCTTGAGATTCTACAGCGATGCTTGTCTGGGGAAGATGCACACAAACATGAAATGGCAGCAATACCTATACACAGACTCCCAACTCACAGTGACACAGCAGCACAGTGAGATGCATACAGAAATACCTCTCATGTACTTGCTAGCTCATTTTTTAGCTGAGGAGTTTCCAAAACTGAGACTATTCTTTTCTGAAGAATCCCCTCTCCCACCTCTCCAAAAAAAGGGGGAAAGGTCATGATTGATTTCTATCCTATAATTTGGGAAGCGTTACTTTAGATTTTATTTTTCTGGCCATTCTTTTCCATAGATTTGGTTCCTGGTGGTAAGGAATAAGCCTTATCAGTCTTCTACCTCAGTGATTAAAAAAAAAAAAAAAAACCTAAACATAAAACGAAAAAGATTTCTGCTAGACATAAATGTCATCTGTTTGTATTTATGTGGTTTGCTCTGCCCAATCGACCTTTCTGCCCAGGTTTAATGATGCCACTTAAAAAGCCATTCACATGTCCCCTCTCCTTTCAGAGCTTTCAAGCTGAAATTGATTTCCTTATTCATCCGCTTTCTCCTCCTTTCCACCTACTCTCAGCCCAGGCTCATTCCCCCAACCTGATTATATGGAAGTGCTGTCGCTGGGCAGTGGGTTGTTTTTCCTTAAACTACAACGTACATTAAGAAGTAGCGACAGTTCAACTGCTAACGGATGCCACCTACTTTTGGCTTGAGGAAGAGAAGCATAAAAATCACCTCATCAACAGAGTAGTGCTCATGTCCTCGGCTGAGTGAAGCAACAATTCTCCAGACCAGGGGCGAGGACTAAGTATGGGGAAGAACTCAGGACAGAGGCTGCAACCAAAAGCCCTGACTTTGTTTTTGTTGGGATTAGAGAAAATAGTATGGATACTGTACTCTGTTCCTTTCTTCCTTCTCTTTGAGCCCTCAGTAGTTCCCTATGATTACATATTGATAAGGAGCTTTCTGTCTTGCCTTTGCTCATCCCCTACCCATATACATAGCACCTACCTTTCCTAGCCCAGAGCATTAGGCTTAGATTATGAGCTGCCTTCTAGAAAAGCTATAGATTTTATTATTTTTGTGATGGACCCTCAGGTAGCAAAGAGGAGTTTGAATAAGGTCAATTGCAATTTTGTTGGTAGAAAATGTTGGAGCTGATGGGGCTTTTAGAATGGGGAAATAGATGCCTAGAGCAACTGTAGTAAGAGGAGAGTTGTTAAATGTAGGACACTCCACAACTGTGCTATTTTCCTACAAGCCATACTGATGAATACCCTGTCCCCCTTGGCAGGGGATAGGGAGATACAAGCCTGTGTGTGTGTTTGTATTTGTGATCTCAGAGTAGATGAGCCCTAGAGGATGGGAGCACAGATTGGCCTGGGAATGGGATCTGACAGATGCTATGTCTCCTGAACTCCTCTCTCAGACCTCCTACCATTTCTTTTCCTTTCTGTTGACTGATACTACCTGAGAAAAGCAATCACACTCACCTCCCAGCATGACTGGTGCCCAGGGCTGCACATTTCCCATCATAGGAAGCAATGTGGTGGCGGCAGCAGTGGCAGCCCCAGAGCACCAAGCCGTGAAAACACCAGCATTTCAGCAAGTTTTCAAGACAGTAACCCCAGCTCCCACTTCTCTGCCTTCACATACACACAAACTCAGTCTCAAAAGAGATATAGATAGGGAGGTCAAGAATAAACTCTGAAGTAGACAGTCTCGTGTGAGGAAGCAGAATTCCTACCTGTCCCTCACGGCAGGGACAGTCCATCAAACTGCTTCTGCCTGGTTTCTTAATTGGCCTTTTATCTTGAGGAAGATTTAAAATCAGTATCACCTCATTGTGCCCTTCACTTTCTCCATCCTGCGAGTGGATGAGGCTAACCATGGATACCCCTAAACCTTAGGGTTGCATTCTGTCTGTCACCTGTTGGTATAACCTTCAGAGGATCTGTCCCTCCCATCATCTTCTGGCTTTGCCTTCATTCAAACACTTCTCATCTGTTTCAGGAGCTTCCTGAATGGTCTTCCTGACACTAGTCTCCCTCCCTTCACTAAACTGCATTTGGCCATATGGGTTCTCTCTACAGAGCACCAGTCCTACCCCAGCAATTCTGGGATAAACAAGCAAACATCTTGTGAGAATACACTTCCCACTCTGAGATCAGCTGTTTGTGTTGTTTTGCTTCGTTTTGCTTTTTGAGACAGGGTCTCACTATGTAGTCCAGACTGGTCTTGAACTTGCTGTGATCCTCTTGCCTTAGCCTCCCAAGTGCTGGGGTTACAGGCATGTGCTACCAACACCCAGCTGACATCAACTATTTGTTTGATGTCTAACTTCTTAATAAACTGTCCATTCTGTGAGGGCAGAGAATGGGCTTATTTGTTGTACACTGAGTGCCCAGCGTAAGGACTGGCACATAATAAACATTTGATAGAATTTTTTAAATAAACTTACATCCTGCTGCTTCCTATGTATAGGCCTTGTGTCTTAGCATCTTGAATCATTTGTCATTTCCCATATATGACATACATCACTATGCCATTTCTTTTAATTGAAATGTTTCTCAGCTCACCTCACCATTGGCCAAGAAGTACTTCCTAAGTCTGGCTTCATGAAACTAAATATATATTCACCTTCTCTAAAACAGGCAGAGATTACTGACTTTATCTGTAGCCCTTACCAGAAAAGTTTGCATGTGGCTGCAGACCTGGCTGATATCCCAGACCACCTCCTGTATTTGCGCAATCTGACCTTGATTATTTGGTAAAGCCCAGCTTTGATGGAATGGAGTATTTTTTCTGCCAAACGTGTGAAAGTGCCTGTTACCAGGTGAAGGCCAGAAGAGCATTGCCATCTGGGACTCATCTCCCTTCAGCTGAAGGTTGCACTGATTTGGGGAGAAGGAATCAGAAGCCAAATCAGCGACCATATCAGATTTGTGGCAGAACATAGTTTGATCCTAAGCAAGCGGGTAGATTTATTTACAGGCTTTCCCACTCAGGGCTAACTGGAAGGCCAAAATACAGTTTGAATTCTCAGTCAACTACTTTCTTCTTGCTACTCAGGAGTGTCACCTTCTGGACCAGGTGTGGTGGTCATGCAGCTGAATGTCCCTAATGGACCCCAACCTCCCCAGAACCCATCCATGGTCCAGTGGAATCATTGTAAATATTATAGCATGGACCAGCGGGGTCAGAAACCTGGAGAGCTGTATAGTCCTGACAACAACCCCCAGGTGAGTCCTCTAACCCAGTCTTGACTTTTTTTTTTTTTTTTTCAGCTTTAATTGAGTTTATTGGTACATTTTAGGGATACAGTACAGTTACATTCATTGTTGGGATCTTGTACCTCTACATGACAGGTCTTGGTTCTCATTTTTACAAACCCAGTCTTGTCTTGGCAAGGGAAGGACCATATTCTTCTCAAAAAACATTCTTTGTTATTGATTGAACAGCCTCTTTTTATGTCTGTCTTTTAGTATTTTGCAGAAGAAACAGAAGAGAACATCTTTTCATACACACACACACACACACACACACACGCACACTGGGGATTGAATTTAGGACCTTACACTTGCAAGGCAGGGGCAGTACCACTGAGCTAAATCCCCAGCCTCAAAAACATCTTTTTTTAAGGAACCTGACAATATAAGGTGGCAGAAGCAATGCACACTAGAAATGCTCGGAGAATGTTTAAAATGGAGAGTCTGAAGGTGTAGCTCAGTAGTAGAGCAGTTGCCTAGGACATGCAAGGCCCTGGTTCAACCCTGGTACTGTAAAATACATACACTTATAAACACATGCATACATGCATACACATATACAAACTAGTTAAAAACTAGAAGGCAATTTGAAGGACTTTGGCAGAATTTACAAGAGAAACTTATTTCCTGAGAAGGGAATATGAAGCCAAGCTGTAGGACTATGCAGAGAATAATGTTTAGTGTTTATATGATGTGTGCTTCTCTCTCTCTCTTTTTTTTTTTTTTTTTTTTTTTTTTTTTTTTTTTTTTTTTT